TTAATTTTTGCTTTTGTTTTTTTTTGCCAGAACACTAACAACCTGGGCTAGATATTATTTATTGTTGGATTGTTAATCTCTTATTTTCTCCTATATTTTAATGTTGAATAGTATTAGTGTTGATTTCTAAGAGTAGATTTTCTGTTTCATACATTCATGACATAATATCAGCATTATTGTGTTTTCTTCCAGATTGATGAATTATTGTGAAATTATAAGGTTCCAGATATAATATTCATTGTGCATGTTATTCCTTAAATTCAGTAGTTTTCAATCATTGAAGTGCTGAGTGGTCGGTAATCAAATAAAAATTATTGGTTTCTAAGTATTGATAAAAGTGTTCAATGGTCCATATAATTGCAAGGTATTCCAATTCAGTAACAGAATAATTTTGTTTGGCTTTATTTAAACTTTGGCTGGCATAAGCTATTGCATATTCCTTTTTGTTCTCTTTTTATGCCAGTACTGCTTCAATTCCAGTTCCAGAAGCATTGGTATGCAAGTAGAATGGTTTTGAAAAATCAGGATATTGCAAAATTGGAGAGGTAATCAAAAGTTGTTTCAAGATTTCAAATGATTGTTGTTGATCCTCTGTCCAATTATAGAGTGTTCCTTTTTCCAATAGATTATTTAGTAGTCATGCAATATTAGAGAAGTTTTTAATAAACTTTCTATAATAAGAAACTAATCCCAAAAATTCTTGTAGTTGTTGTATGGTCATAGGTCTAGAAAAATTTTTCACTTTATCAATTTTTTTGTTATCAGATTAAATTTCATCATAGCTAATTACATGATCTAGAAGTTTTACATTTGCTAGGAAAAAGTAATATTATTCAGCATTAACTTTCAAATTTGCTTGTTTCAACACATCCAAGATTGTTACCACATGTTTACAATGTAATTCAAAAGTTGTTAAGAATATGGTGATATCATTTAAGTAGACTTCTACAAATTTTCCTTTGTATGGTGCCAAAATCTTGTTCATTAGTCATTGAAATGTGGCTAGTGCATTACAAAGTCCAAATGGCATGACGTTGAATTTATATAATCCATATTTGATGACAAAAGTGATTTTATCTTTATCTTGGTTATTCATAGCTATTTGCTGATATCCACTAGCAAGATCCAGACATGTGAACTATTGTACATAATTAAACATCTCCAATAAGTTGTCCACAATTGATATTGGATATATATTCTTAACAATTACAATATTCAGTTTCCTATAGTCTATGCAGAATCTGAATTTTCCATTTTTCTTTAATACAATTACTACAGGTGATGACTAGGGGCTGGTTGTAGTATTTCCTTAATTTCCTTTTTAATAAATTTTTGTTGATCAGGAGAGGCTCTATATAATTGTTGCTTGATTAGTATTGCATTTCTAGTATTAATGCAATATATTACATTATTTGTTCTTCCTAAGTTACTAGTTTGTCCTTCCTTCGAGATATTATTGACAAATATATCTTGATTTTCTTCCAATAATTGTTGTACATTGTTTTGTTGCTCCTCAGTTAAGATGCCTTGTGTAACTTTGGATGAATCCTTTTGGATATTTTCTGATATTTCCATAAGAAAAATTGCTGGATTCTCTTCTTCTTTTTCATGGACTATATCCAACGTGTATGCTTCCTGTTCCTTTAAATCTTCTTCTAAATCATATTCAATTTCTTCTAATAATTGATTCCCATCTTGTTTATTATTATTGCTTATTAATTCCAGTGATTCATATGCCAGATGCATTGTTATAATCTTCAATTTGCATTCTTTATAAGAGATCTGCAATGTGCATTGATCAAAATTCCAATTGGCTTTTACTTGTCCTAACCAATTAATACCCAATAGAAGTGTTTCATCACTGGATTCGATGACTTGTAGCTTGATTGGTATAACAGCATCTTGAATTTTTATTTTCAAATTCGTGATTTGTCCTAGAGCTTGTACTTGATTTCCATTTGCAGTTATAACAGTTGTTTTGGATGGTGCATCAGATTTCAAATAAAGCTTATCTATTAATTTCTTGATAATAATATTGACTGTAGCATTGGAATCTAAAATTGCAACTATTGATATTCCCTTAATTTGGATGTAACATTTGACTGTAGTAGTTCTGAATTGATCTTCATTTAATGTATAATTAGTTTCCATCACTTGCTTGGATCATTTTAAGATTTTTATCAAATTTTTTTATTGATTGGGATATTGTAACATTTGTTTCAATATTGCAAAGATTTCAATTTCAAAAGATCATCAGCAATATTATATGGTTGTAATTTGTTAATTACTAAATATTAAGACTTTATTTGTGATTGTTTGGTTTTAATTGCTGTCTATGGAACATTGTCTTCTGGACCTGATTTCTCAATTTTTATTAGTTGTGATTTAGTTGTAATCTTCTTAGTTTGGAAATTAAGTTTCTTATTGAACTCAGATTACTTGACTTTTTGTTTTTTCTTGGCTTCTCTTCTATTGGTTAAATATAGTGGTCTTTCTTATTGTTCTATATAAACTTCTTTATCATTATCATTAAAGATCAATGATTCTTCTATAGTTAAATAATTAATTGGTCACCTAGGTTTATATGCCTTTGGTTGGATTTTTTCAGATAAGCAGTCACATGTGATGTGTCCAGGTTCTCTATACTTAAAGCAAATTATCTTTGAACTTCTCCATAGCTTACTTGTTTGTTGCTTTTGCTTTTTCACTTGAGCAGATAGGAGTTTAATTTGTTTAACAAGATTCAATTGTATCTTTTCAAATTTCTTAATCAAATAATCTACAGAGTCCTCAAGAGTTTTGAAGGAATTGGATTTGTATAGTCGTATTGGTAGTTCATCATAATTGTTAGTATCTTGTCCAAACTTATATAGTTAAGCATATTTGATAACTTGTTCAATAGTGGTTGGTTCTCTTATAGCAATTACTGAAGCCAAGTAAGATAATAATTCTCAGATGAAGTATCAGAGTTTTTGTTTATTATTTATTTCTCTAGCTACATCAACTCTTTTAATTAATTTCTTAAAAGCAGCATAGTATAAGCTGACTGGTTCAGTTGATCCTTGTTTTCACTATTCCAAATCTCTTGTCCATTTGTTGATCCATTATTGAGTACAAAATTTCTCCATAAATGATTTAAAAATGGTTTTCCATTTTATAGCATCATTATTATTCTTGTTGTCTTTATAATAAGTTAACCACTATTCTTCAGCTTTGTCCTGCAAATGTCCATTAAGTATTAATAGTAATTTTTCATTATTCTAATTGTTAACTTTGGCAGTTTTTTCAAAGGCAGTGAGCCATATAATTGGATTTTGAGTTCCATAATCAGTAAAGGTCTCTATTCCTAGGATATTTTGTTAAGTATTGGCCTTCAAATAGTTGAAAACGTCATCTGCACTAGTTATAATATTTGTTTTCAAGAATAATAAATCCAAATGTAATTTTTCTTGATTGTGTAAATAATTGAAATAAAAAATTTCAGGGATAATAATAAAAGTAGTTGGAATTAGTTCAGATGAATTTGAGCTTGATTTCTTAAATAAATTGTTATCAATAAGTCAGATGGTATAAGGAATATCAAGAGAAGGGAAAGGTTCAATAATGTATATATCTCAGGATCAAATATAAAATTATTATAGATAGTAAAAACAGTAAGAGTTTCAGTAGTTACTCTATCAAAGTGAATGGATTCAAAATATCTGATGGATAGAATTAATCTTTCAATGATAATAGGAAAGGAGAATAGGGTACAAGAGTATTGAATAAAATAATAATAAGTTCTAAATAAATATTGGATACCTGGAAAAATAATATAGAACCAATTCCAGAAGTGAATAAAATAAAGATTATAGTTTTCAATAGAAGAAAAGCAAATAGTACAAAACTCGTCTGGTCATCTTTGTTGGATTGCTTCTTTACTTAATTATGGATAGTCTTGATGTACTTGATTGTATAAGTTGATAATGTGTTCAAATATCTAATAATTTACTATAAATCTTTTATTGGCCTTGCTTTGTTAGACTTTGGATTCTAAATTACAGACCCCTTTTTTTATTGTAAATACTTCCAATATTGAACAAAGCCTTTCTAGTTTTCTTTTAAGATTCACCTTCAATAGTTTCTTCATAATTATGTGATGAACTGAATCTTACGGATCAAGATCTTACAGTCACCACCAATTTGTTAACCTATTTAATAAATCTTAAAATTAAATAGATTAACAGACAATAGTAGTAGGAAATCACTTAATTTAGAGAAAAATAATTTCAGTTGTAATATATTAGTATTGATAAGATAAAGAAATTGGGCAGAATTTATTTTCAAGGCAATAGGCACAGGGATTTTATTATAGATTCAATATAGTTTTTATTAAAGAAAGTTGAGAAGAGTTAGAAAATTTCTTGGACAGTTGAGAAGAACAGCTGTCCTATTTATATATGTTTAAAACATATAAAATTAAAATATAAATAAGTGACAAGATAAAACTTCACATATAACTCTTTCCACTGATCCTTTTGCCAACCCAAAAAACAGACATTCTCAAAAAAACTTTTTGTTTTTATAATAATAAAGTCTATACACTTTCCTTAACAACACTGGTTCTTTAACCAGCAAAGCGAGCAGAAGCTATCACTTGTTTTATTTTTTCTTTTCAAAACACTTTTCTTGTTTATTTTGGTGACTAAATACAAGAAACCTACCTAAAAGGTCTATGGCAAGAACACCTCTCTAGGAAGAAAACTGACAAGAAAAAACACCCTCCAAAGACTCCCAAAAGATTTAAGAATCCAGAAAAACAAGAACAAAGAAGTCTCCAGTCTGTTTCCTATTTTTCAGATAACGGATTTAAATATTACAATTCACCTTTCAGTGGGAAATCATATGGTCCTCAATTTCAACAAGGAGACGTTGTTGGAATTGGATATCGTCCACGAACTGGTACCGTTTTCTTTACACGTAATGGAAAAAAGTTAGATGATGCGTTTACTGGAATGAAAATGAACCTTTTTCCAACTGTTGGAGCAAATGGTCCATGTAGTGTTCACGTTAACTTTGGACAAATAGGGTTTGTCTTTGTTGAAGCGAATGTAAAAAAATGGGGACTTGCTCCAAGTATGGGAACACTTGCTCCTCCACCAGCTTATGGTTCTGAGAGAGATTCAATTCTACTGCAATCTAGCTCCAGAGGACGTCCATCAGAAGATTTTAATCATATGCATTATTCGCACGAAAATAATGACATCATGAACGGCTTACCTTTGGACATTTCTTTGAATGACATTCCTGTTTCACCACCGTCTTACTCTTCCGTAGACCGGTACTGTGAGCGTCATTCTTTCATGTCTGATAGTTCTGAAACTTATTTACTAGCAGACGAACAAAGCGATTCTCGGAGGACAAGTTACGAAAATCCATCCAGAGATCAACAACGAAATGGCTGAACAATTAACATTTAAATTTTCAATTTTGAGGTACAGATTATTTGGATCTTTACGTGTATGGATTTTGATCCAAAATTTCTGATTCTTTCTGAATCAATGTTTCGAGTTCGTATACGTATAGACATTAGTCACTCATTATATACTCATAAATTTTCTGCTCTTTTGGGTGTCCTTGTTGAGAACAGATATTTCCAACATCCGTTATTCATTATTATATACTGTATATTACGCATT